TTCCGATCGAGTTTCGCCTAAGTTTGGCGAACCATTCGAGCGCAGCTCCTTCTAGGTTTTCGACGAAGAGGCGGCAGTAGCCTGCGTCTTTTTCGTGGTCCTTGAGCTTGGCTCGTCCCATGGTGATCTGGAACGCTTGCAGGTGCGCTTTAGGATCGGACGTCCCGTCGTAAGTTGGCACCTTAAGCTTTCCGGGATCAGGCAGTTTGATCTCGGTGATGCGGGCCGTGAAGGGCGTTTTCCGAGACTCGTACAGTAGCCGATCGATCTCGGGTGCGGCGCTGGTCGCGTGGTGAATCTGAGATTTCACCGCTTTTACCGCTGCGGCCGTTTTCGTGATGTATTCGCGGAGATCGCGAATCTCGGTCTGATCGCCAGCAGTTTTCCGACCTTGTCGGCGTTTGCTGCGAGTGACCGGAGATCGCTCCTCGGCAGTTTTTGCGTATCGTGCGAAGTCGAGTTCCCCTTCGTCTCCAGTAAACGAGCGTTTGGGAGAAGACTCCGGTTGAGGACTGCGAGTTTTTCTTCTCTTAGGATGGACGTCGGCATCTTCGTCTGTCGAGTCGGCCTGGTCGCTCGTTTCCAAGTTGACCCTTTCGATGCCGTCGCCTTCAGTCTCCCGTTCGCGAATAGGAGATTTTTCCGGTTCGTTCAGTATCGTGTCAAGGTTTTCTTTTCCGGAATCCTTTCCGGTACGTTTCCCTGATCGATTCTAGGACGATCCGTAGGAGCGCCGAAATCGAGTCTCCTTCCGCGGATTTTGGTAGTTCCGCGGGGGCGAATCGCTTTGGTTCTCGCAGTTAGGGTTTCGAGCCGTTTTGCGAGCGAACCAATGAGCTTTTCCTGCTCTTCCGATTTTTTGTTAAACTCAGAAAGCATCTTTTCGACGGTCTCGGCGTTAGCGTTCGTAGCGTTGGCCGCAGGCGCGTCTTTTGGTAGTGGTGTTTCAACGTTGTCGTGTTCGTTGCGAGTTTGGTTGTCACCAGCCATCGTTTCTTCGTTGGACATGTTGCGGCTACGGTGTAAGATAGATCCGACCCCCCCCCCTCCTTCTAGCGCCAAACTGTGGGTGTCGAAATCCACTCAATGTCAAATAAATCGTAAAAAATGAAACTTCGGGAAAACCCTAAATTTCCAGAGGAACCGGCTATCTGCGAGAACCGCACAACGAAAAATAAGAAAACGATAACTTAGAATTTGAATGAAAATAAATGAAATAGCGAGAAAAGAGGTTCTTATTCCGAATCTGCGTAGAACTGGTACAAAAGAGTAGCCGAAAAGCTTAAGAACGAAAACCCTAATTGAGACGCAGCTCGCTAACAGAAAAACGGAAATATTCCTAAATGCTAGTTTTGGTGGTGAAAGCTCTGAATTTCGTGTGTGTTGCTTCTGCCCTAGACCTCCTATTTATATACTCCTCGCCTTGGCTATCCTATCTTTCCATTTCGCCCAGATTTGACTAAATCGGGAATTTTCCATTCTTCTCGATCCTTCCTTTTCTTCCGCGGAAATCTTCTATTTCTCTTCAAACCTTCCTTTTATCTTTAAACTCGACTTTTATGTTCCTTCTGCGAGTAAACCGTCAAAACGTTATTAAATCTGCGGGTTAGATTCCGTTGAAGTCGCGAGATGGGTTTTTATCGCGTTTTAGGTCCTTCCGGGCCGTTTTGCGATAAATCCGTTTTCCGACTTTTTACAGGATCGTTTCCTGATCTGACGTTGTTTTTAATAAATTACTCGAGTTAATCGCAAGGTTTTACGATTTACTCGACTTTTTATTAAAAACACGTTTTTTACGACTTACTCGGCGTTTTTTATTAAAAAACGCGTTTTTATGATTTCAACAAAAAATCTCGAATAAATCGTATAGTTTTGGCAATGTTCGGTGTTTCGTTTAACCGTTGCCGTTTTATACGATTTCCTCGAGTTCTTTCCAAGAAAGCAAAGTTTTACGGTTTTTATAGTAAAACTCGAACGGTAAGTCGGATCGAGATGGAACGGGAGATGTTTCGGCCGTAGTTTACAACGTGACCTTGTCGAATGACGTAAGTTTCGAATCGAGAGCATGTCCTAGTTCGCCCATCGGCGAACTAAGCCGGGCCGGCTTAGTTTGCCGATGGGCGAACTAGTTGATCACTTCCTAGTTCGCCCATCGGCGAACTAGAGAGTGCCTCTTAGTTCGCCCATCGGCGAACTAAGCCGGGCCGGCTTAGTTCGCCGATGGGCGAACTAGAGAGTGCCTCCTAGTTCGCCCATCGGCGAACTAAGCCGATGGGCGAACTAGTTGCGACTAGTTCGCGTTTTACGGCTATTTCGGTTTTTTGAGGTTTCGTAAAATGATTCTCGAGTTTTATAAAACGATCTTCGGATTTCATAAAACGATCTTCGAGTTTTATAAAACGATTTCTCGAGTTTTATAAAACGATCTTCGAGTTTTATAAAACGATCTTCGAGTTTTATAAAACGATTCTCGAGTTTTATAAAACGATTTCTCGAGTTTTATAAAACGATCTTCGAGATTTATAAAACGATCTTCGAGTTTTATAAAACGATTCTCGTGTTTTATAAAACGATTTCTCGAGTTTTATAAAACGATTCTCGAGTTTTATAAAACGATTTCTCGAGTTTTATAAAACGATTTCTCGAGTTTTATAAAACGACCTTCGAGTTTTATAAAGCGATCTTCGAGTTTTATGAAACGATCTTCGAGTTTTATNATAAAACGACCTTCGAGTTTTATAAAGCGATCTTCGAGTTTTATGAAACGATCTTCGAGTTTTATAAAACGATCTTCGAGTTTTATAAAAAGATTCTCGAGTTTTATAAAACGATTTCTCGAGTTTTATAAAACGATTTCTCGAGTTTTATAAAACGATCTTCGAGTTTTATAAAACGATCTTTGAGTTTTATAAAACGGTCTGCGAGTTTTATAAACGACTTTGAGTTTTATAAAACTATTCCTCGGGTTTTATAAAACTGTTCTTTTTGTATTTTCGCGGGGAGTTTTGGCTATTAATTCCGTCGTACCGATTTTGACCCCAACACCATGTATCATTTCAGGAGCCTAGAATCAAAAAATAATAACCAGTTAATGTCAAATACTATTTATAGTCTGTACATGCATGTATCACGTTTAGTGAAAGATAGTCCCAGGACTACTCTCTTACAAACAATACAAAATGGTATACTTCCACATATCAGCCTACTTAAGTAGCAAGTACGAGAAAGAAGACTTGAACAGAATCACTTACATGGCTTGGGGGAATTTGCTTTCCACTTAGCAAATTTACAAGGAGGGTACCAAATCTAAATATAAAACTTTCAGAGTTCACACTTCCTACAAGGACAAAATATCATCATAATCTGATAATAATAAAGTGAATAGAGGTAAGTATAAATTGATTACCGGTTGTTCTTTGATCATCTTTGAACTTCTTCATCAACCCAGAACAGGAAAGACATGCATCACCATCCTTCAATATCCATTACAAAAAAAAAACGTTTTATCTTCCTTAGACATCAAGAAAGAATAGTCATGAAAATGTTGTTGAAAAGAACAATTATATGTACCTCATCAAACAGAACCGAGTAAGCACTTAAATTATTGTACGTAAAGCCTCCACAACTACAATAGTCCAATGCTTGAGCCACGTAAAAAGCTACACTAAGTCGCATTTCCCATTCCATGGTTTGATTTTTCACTGAATTTCGCAATACAAAAAGTTCAAACCAGAAAATGTTAACAATGTTCTCCAATTAGCCAATATTAAAAACATAGAATTGAATGATAAGTGCTGGTTCTACATGTGTTTTAGTCACAACGTTTTCTGTCTTTAGAACCATCTAAATCACAATTATGTCTCATAAACCACCGATGTTATACGTGAGAGCAAAAGGAGAAATGAAGATATTGAAACATACGATAGAACAAACGCTTAGAAAGAGTATCATTTGGCATAAAATCTGCGACAAGAAGCCTTTCATTTTCATCACAGCAATATCCAATCAAATTTACTACACTCTTGTGCCCTAACTTCCCAACTCTATGTGCCTCCTCCTTAAAATGACAAAGGAAGAACCAGAATTAAACCCGCTAAAAGCAATCAATAACCGTCTCAACACTGAAAGCTTTTCACACAAAGAAAGTATACCACAAACTGGTTAGGATCAGACGAAGCCACATTATTAAATTTCTTAACAGCAATGAAACCACGGTTAGTCAAATGCCCCTTGTACACGATATCAGAGGTTTCCCCTCCGTTCTCTGAAACGATATTTTTCAAACTAAAATTTTCGGTGGCCATGTTTAGATCGGAGAAGGAAAACTTTGTTATTTGTGGATCAGTTCCCCCGCGGTATTGAGGGGCATTTTGTGGAGGATCTTCCATGGAAGGCGATGAGTAGCAACAACCCATGATTTTTCAGCGGGCAGAACAAGAGTTTCCAAGTATTCTTTTTTTTTTTACTGATGCATTGTAAAAATGGACTTTTATTTTGTTTTCTTGTGCTTTGACTCTGAGGCTTAGTGTCTCTTTGTTACCAATACAACAGTCGTAATAATAATGACCATCATTTTCCTCCCAAAATTAGAAGACCTGTCTTATTTGTCATTCAAAGGCTTATTAGATAGAATTTGTACCGCCAAAATTGTGTTAGCATTTTCGTAAATATGCAATGATTTTAGCTATTAAAATATTGTGTTATTTCACATGAAGTTTTTTTTACAAATACAAAAATCTAGAAATATTTTTGCTCATCTAACAATACTAAAAAACCAAATATAAACAATATATGCGCTGTCCAGATAGGACAAAAAAATCAGCCAATAAAATTCTTTTTTTTGGCCATGTCACAGATCATTTTCGTGTTGGACTTCTAATAATTTTCCGATCTACAATTTGTATGGTCTGTTTAGCCCAAAGAAAAGGAAAACCCTATAAGCGTGAGACGATGAACTCCGGATCCTTTAGTGTGTTGTTCTTTGTCGTTTCCAATCTCTAATGGATTGTCGATCACCTTCATTGTTCTTATTGTCTCTTCGATTGCTGTTACTTCACGTGATCTTTCACTCCAATTCCTCTCCTTTCTCTCTTTATATAAACTCTTTTACCAAAACTTAGCTATAACCACACCAAATGATGGCTATGAAATCTGAAAACCCTGACGGCAAGGCTCTGCTCTGCTTGGTCAATTTTCCGCGACATCTCCCCAGGCTGAGAAAAACTTTCTTTTGAAAAGACAATTGTTCAGGTAACTAGAACCAAAAGTCTTAATAGCTTGGGTTTATATTTCAGCAATCATGCCGATTTGCAGGTTCCAGGAATGTGTGCGAGTTATCAGCTTTAGAGTAACTCTTAAAGTCTCTAACCCATCATCGCAGCAATCCCACCTGGTCCCCATATTCTCTTCTGAATATTTTATTTTTCCCTTGCGATGAAGCTTCAGTCTTTACAGGTTTGAGTTTAAAAAGACAGAATTTTCACTACTCCGTTTTCTGTTTGATTCAAAAAGAGTCTTCCAATGTTTGTAGCTTTTCATTTAAAGTTAGATGGCTAAACATTGCAGACTTGCAGTCATAAATGGTCATGGAGATTTTCGGTACTACGATGGTCAAATCACCGGAACTTGCTGGGTCAATGGCTACAATTGGACATTGATATACTTATCATAAGGAGACTTAAATTATGACTGATGCTGATTTTAACAGTAACGGTGTTATTAGTTTCAGTATATGGTATTTTCCACCAACTATGCATTTTGTAATAATTTTCAGGATAACTAGGATGCTAGTGGTGACAATAAATTTAATTGGTCAGTACGGGGTTCTATTCATCATTTCTTTGTTGAAGATTGGGAAACTTATATCGTTGTTATCTCTGTGTACCCAAAGTCTGATAAGCAATATGTATGGGAAGGAGAAGCAGATTCACACAATTATACCATTAAGGAAGGGACTGGTTCTCAGCTAATCGTTCCTAGAGGGACATGTACTACTTAGCATCTTAAGGTTCGTTATGTGTTTGTTTTTCTTTTGTAGCTCAGTGCAAGTATTTTTGGCTCAATGAGGTATACTTTCTTTCTTCTCTTATCATGCTCTGAGAAATATCTTGAGTTTTACAGAAAAATAGTTCATTCCTGTTTGTTGCTGCCCTTGACCTCTAAGAAGGTGACCACAGATGAGTAAAGTGAGTTTTACAGAAAAAATTTCAACGAGTATCCATTGGCATCATCTCACTTCACAACAGAGGTACGTTGGAGGGAAAACATCTACTGGAAATCGTATATATAAACAACCCAAGGAGGTTATGATTTGTATGATCCACTAATGATATATTGTTCTTAAACCTAAACTGTTCTGATATTCTCTTAATGTAGCCTGAGGTCGAGTTTAGATCCATAACATAACATAAAGTCACCAATTGGACAGGATGATGTGGTTAGTTGAAAGACAAATAACATAAGGCTCTATTTTAAAACAAGCTTTCAAGTGATTTTAACATATTCTAAGGAACTTGAATTCTAAGTGCTTTTGATTTGTTCATAGACATAAGTAACATAACTCATCTGACGGAGAAGTTATTTGCTGATGAACGATCACTATTGTGCGGTCAACTAAGAAAAAATAAATGAAATAGGGAAAGAGAAGGCATTCAAAAAATTGAAGATGGGACCTATACCACCGGTCCACCTAAAATAAGTTTCACATCACATCAAATAACTAAGAACTATAGTTTGATCCGCACTCAGTAGATGTTTGTTTTTACGAATTATATAAATAAAAATAAAATTTAATGGAATTAATTTTTAGTGTATTATTTAAAATATATATTTTTCATTACCAATATTTTGAAAATCAGACCGACATTATAGATGGATTAATGGCCGGACTGGTCCAATCGGTTCAACCGAATTTTAAATGAAGTAACTATATATCTGTGTGTAACTATAAAATTATTTTTATGAGAATTTATCTCATTGTTATAATCTAGAACTTGGTTAATTTTTATGAAATTGTTACTTAGTTTAAAATTAAATTTTAAAATCCGATTGAATCAATTGAACTGCAAAACATAAGCTATTAATGTAGATGCTTGGAAATGTTGGCTTAAGGTGGTTATACCTGCTCTCCTGAACCTACGACGGTTCTCAAAATATTCTTGAATTATATCTCACATTTCTTTTCTATCTGAGTATAACCAGGGATTGTGTTTTGAATCATATTTCGTTTGTTTCTATTCAGGAGAACTAGGCCAAGAACTGGAGAGATCATTAGAGTTCAAATCAAGGGTCTGCAGAGGCGCGGAATTGTAAAATTGAGATGTTATCTTTTGTTTTTGTTTTAGTATATCAGTTTATGATGTTTAAATCTATGTTCGTTCTCGATCTTTTCATTATAATCCAGAAATTCCACTTAATTTGGCACCTTTCCCCTCATCAGTACGACTATTACAATGTTCTATTGTTGCAACTTTTAAAGGAAATGTTCATGCATAGATGATACAGATATAACGCTCGCATAGTCACTTAGGCCTCAGATGGTATAGCAGATGATAAAGCTGTAGTAGTATGCTATAGAAGTAGTATGTTGCAGAAGCTATATGCTTTCATTAAAGTTTTTAATAAAGTGATTGGTAGGGCAATAGCAGTATACAAATTTAAATTATCATAATAGTTAGTATAATAATATATTTTTTAAAAATAATATTTATATATTTATAATATATATTTTAAGTAAAAATAATAAACGATATCTGTAATTATATAAATTATATTTTAAATATGAACTATTGTTCTTTTAAAAAATTAAAAAAATATTTAATTATTATTTTATTCTTATTTTTTAACCATATGAATTTATTTTTTAATTATAAAAATATTTTTTATACTACTAAACAAAAATAAATTAGTTATATATAACTATTTTTTAGTTTTATATATTTTATCTGCAAATTCTCCCAAAAGCTATATATGTGAGTATTGGATAAAGAGCATTTGGAGAACATTTGCATTTGGTAAATGTTTTTCTAAATGTTTCTTAGATAAATGTTGATTGAATAATCGAGAGCATAGTGCTTATGCTATGCTTTACCAATCAAGCTCTATCATGACATGAGTTTGATCAAGAAAACACTGGGACTGTATTTGGTCTATGATTTTGTAGGAAATATAGTTTTTTTGGTTTTATGGTTACCCCCTTCAAATCCTTACAAATTTATGCCAAAAAAATATCTTCCTCGACTGTCACATCTCACATAATCCAAATATATCATCTTGAGAAAAACTCAAACTCAGTGACCTAATTTATATAATAATAAAAAGTAGACGCATAATGCATTCAAAGATAACCACAAAAGTTTTTGAAAAACCAATTGGTTATAGTCAGCATTGTAATTGTCTATTTAAACATTAGAGCTTCCATATCTTTTAAAAAAAATGAAAATCAACATAAACTAAACTTAAAACATTAATTTTTTTATATTTAAACTGTTTTTTGGAAAATAAAATATCAAAGTTTCACTTACAAAAAATTTCTTAAATATAAAACTTTTTAAAAATTATTATGTCAAAATAAAAGTGAAATCAGTTTCTCAAAACCAAAAAGGGTTAAAACAAGTATAAAATGACTAAAAAAAAGTATCTAGAAGAAATTAACTGAATATATAGGTTAATTATTTGAAAATTAACATATAATCTTTTGATTAAGTATTAAAATATAATAAAATTTAACTAACATGAAGAAGCAACTTAAATCTTATAAATGTTAAAATTCTTAAAAATCATATATGTCGATATAAAATAGAAATAATCTTAAATATATTTTAATTACAAAATTATAAGATGAAACTTATGATTTAGTAAGTTGTTTAGAGCTTTTGATTACACTCAGTAAATCACATTACACAGAATTTTTTTTTAATTGTTACCTACAGTCTATTAATATAATTTGTCCATTGTTTATTTATAATGTAATGTAAAATAATTATGTGTAAAGATCAATTTTGGTTAGAGCATCACCAATCAATGCATTGAGAAGTTCTTTTGAAAAAACTAAAAATTATAATTTATTTCTCGCTATTCCAACACCGTCTTAAGCTAAAGAATAATGGGAATATGTTTCTATCTTAACATACAAGCAATATTTTAAGGTTATTTACAAATTACTAATGGCTAATATTTCTGCATATGTGTTGTGCAATCTATCCAAAATACTTTTATGTAGTAACTAAGCATTGAATCATTCATATTGAAATGTAAGACAGATTTCACATTGTATAATAAATACCAAAAAGTTTTAAACTTAAAAATAAATTATGGCTTCAAAACTTAAAGAATTACTTAATCATTTTTATTGGTCATCAAAATTTACAGATTTAAATATTCAGAATTATTAATTATTTATAAAATTATATGTTTATATGAAATCAAGATTATTTACATATACTTAAATAATAATTAAAAAATTAATCAGATGATCTATAAGAAAATATATAATATACATAAGATAATAGAAAGCATTTCTATTTTTAAATGTAGATTATTTTAAATTTTAAGAAAGATTTAAACAATTAAAAGATTAATAGAAACATGTAATATATATATATATATATATATATATATATATATATTAAAATAGAAATCAATGCTATTTAAAACAAAAAATATAATCTTTTAAATCAAATAAATGATATAATATAAACAAAAGAAGCTTAACTATTATTAAACTCTAAGGTTTAAATTATATTTAACATTAAATTTATATAAACTTTATAGAAAACCAAACCGCGCATAGCGCGGTAAAATCTCTAGTTAATTTAATTAAAACTCGAATATGACTTGTTAAAAAGGTTTAACATTTTGCAGTTTGTCTTTGTACTTATACTATTTATTTTCTAACATATTCAATAAAAAGTATTCATCGTTAATCGATTCACTGTAAGAAAACAGATTTTTTTTTTTTTTTTGTGCTTTGAGTCTGAGGGCCTTGTTTCTCTTGGCTTAGCGTCTTTTTGTTGCCAAGAAAACGGTCTGATTATAGCAAAAATAAAACTATCATATTCGTGCAAAATAGAAGACGTTATATCTTATTTGACACTATATGGCTTATATTTATATATAGTAGAGTTTTGATCCACGCTATGCGTTGTTTTTTTTTCTATATTTTGGTTTTATTTATATTAATTTTAGTTTTTTTACGAGTATTTTCTCAAATGTAATAAATTTTTTTTTAGAACTTTTTTATTTGGTTATATTGAAGCAATAAAAGATTTATATTGGTTTTTAGAAAAAAGAGATTTATATTTATTTCTGTCTCCTAATTTTATTAATTTGGTCATATATTTTTTGATATTTAAATGTGTTGTTATCATGTTTTTTTACTATTTTAGTATTTATGTGTCTCATTTAATTACATTTTGAGTATATATATCATTTTAATAAATTTAAATGTATAAGATTTAATATTTTAGTAATTTATAGATTTAAAAGAGAAAATTTAAAAGTTATTATTAAACTGAGAGCGAAATAGACTTAACTTATAGCTTTTATTGGAAATTTTCATTTCTGTAGTATTATGTTTTTGAAAAGTAGTAGGATACGGATACATACATGTAAAGAGTAATAAATATATATACATATAACTTGTAGATTTTTTCTGTTTTGTTACTAATACGGTTGGGCAGAAAATATGAATTCCAAGAATTAGACAGAATCTGATCTCAAAAGTAGTATCACTTCGAAAAGAAATTTGCTAAATATCCGAACGGATTCAAATTTTAGTATTTAGAATACCACAATACACCTTATTCGTACTGAAACATTTTGGGTATCTTCATAAGTCCGAATCAAATTTATATAGATGAATATATTAGATACTTATAGATTTAATAACAAAAAAATTGCAATATCTAGATGAAATATATCAAATAGCTAAATATTAGATACCTGCTCCCAGCGAGGCTTTGTCGATCAATATCCGACTATGTGTGTCGATCGACTTGTGGTGAACAGTATCGATCGACATCGGATGAATGATGTCGATCGATATCGGATGAACAGTAGCACGATGAACCGTAGCCGGATGAACAGTGTTTGGCCGAACAATGTTGTTGGTAGGTTGGTTGGCTCTATCGATCATTGCTGCTTGTAGCTTATCGATCGATTGACGGTGTGCCTTATCGATCAATGTCTGGTGTACGCTGTCGATCGATGCTGCTTGGAGGGTGTCGATTGATAAGTGTGTACCAGCAGGCTCCTTCCTTGAATAAACTAGAAATCCTCTCTTCATTGTTTCTGGTACTGAGATGTGTGTACCTGAAAAAGAAGAAAAAAAAATTATCAGTATTTTAAAACAGTAACAAAACCTAGACTAAATCTAACTAAACAAGATCTAATGGCGATCAAAGCTCTCCGGCAACGGCGCCTAATTTGATATCACTCAAATGTTTAACCCTAAGGAGTGAATTACTCTCTCAAATAAGAGGTTCAATTGTAGTACTTAGGGATCGAATTCACGGGGAGATAGGGAACCTAAAAGATCTAATAGTTATATGATTAAGCTAGGCTAATAGATATTAATGCAGTAAATAAATAAAGTAAACTTGAAAGCAATAAACAAGATGAACAAGGTAATTGTTCAGCTTGGCAAGGATTTGTTGGATGGAAGGATGGTTGCTAGATCTAGGGTTTCTATTCAGGAAATCAGGATTATGATACTATAGATGCCTAACAAGTTGCATGCATGATATATAAGAACTTCAATTCTTAGACAAATCTATAGCATCGCTAGTAGACTCGTCCATTGATGTGTCTGCCGGCAATATCGACCGATGTTGTTATCGCGGTATCGATCAATATGGATTTCCATCGATCGATTACTCTATAGGAGTATCGATCGATATAGCATAAGATCAAACCGAAACTGTGTTCACCAAGATCGTAGACCGGCTATCGCTGGTGCCTAAGATTTGAGCTTGTACATGATGATATCAGGATGGAGATTAATAAAATAAACTATTCCAGTTCATGGTTCTAGTTCATGACTCTAGAAACAAGCATTAAAAACATCCTAACAATGAATATCACAACTTAGCAATCTATAGTTGGGGCTAATCCCGCAACCTATCTGAACCCTAAATCCAACAGGTGGATCTATTCAGACATGAAGATTGTCACAGAAATCATAGATGAATAGATGAGAAATTGCAATAGATATAAAACCAAAACCAATGGAGTTCCAAGAGGATTCTGATAGGAGTTCCTCCCTTCTCTCCTCACAAAGAATAATGAATCAAAGAAAGCTTAGATAGCATAGCCGTCAACAATGGCTTATAAATATCATAACTTGGGTTTCTGGTCGTCAAGGGTATTTTGGTAACTTGTGGGCTTCAGTCGGTTATGAAATATAGTCAGCCCACGTTCTGGCATTCATATCGACCGATATGAAGTGTCTCCCATCTATCGACATGCACATATCATCTCGACAGCCTTCTCTCGCGAGGCAGACTGACCACTCTTCAGTAAAACGGGGATAACTTCTGATCTAACCGTTGGATGGACCTCAAACCGGTGGCATTGGAAAGCTAACTCAAAGCTCTAACTTGTGTCAACATATGGGCGAACTCGCACCATGGGAAGGTCTCCATCCATATCTAAACATCTAACGCGTCTGCGCAGTTTTGCACTTAAGGGCTCCAAAAGACACCAAAATCACCATATTTCTCCAGGACGTACCTGAACCTGTAAATACTCTAAATAGACTCCAAAAATATATAATTATCATAAAAATATACCAATACCATGACTAAAAGTGGGTCAAAATCATAGTATATCACTGGGCTAACATCAACAATGCGTTCCTGCGCAATTTCTTTGATGAGGCACGAGCTGAAGAACTGAGGAACAAGATTGCTACCTTTACACAGAAAGCTGGAGAGTCTTTCAAGGACTCTTGGATTAGATTTAAGTTCTTCTAGCGCGACTGCCCAACCATGGATTCAGTGAGGTGCAGCTACTCAGCATTTTCTTTAGAGGAGTCGCTTTGAAGTATCAGATGGCTCTTGATACAGCAAGCGATGGGAGTTTCAATACCAGAAATTTAGAAGAAGCTGTGAGGCTTATGAGAATCTAGCAAACAGCAGCAGCACCAAAAACACTGATTCTGAAAGGAGGAAATCTGTAGCATTCCTTGGGAAGGAACAAATGTATGAAGTAAAAGCTGAAGTTTTATGAAGATTAAGAGATATTTGTATGTGATAATTATCAGAATCTGAGAGAGAGAAGGAGAAGAATTGATTTCGACACTAGAGAGAGAGAAACATGAGAAATGTGAGGAACATTTTTCCTTAATATTTTGGTGTGCATACAACATTGTTTTATAGGAAAAATTTGGCATAGTAAGACAAAGAGAATATAGTAAACAATGGTTGGTCTTCCTTGCTCTTCCTTGGGTAGATCCGAGACAGTGACAGGCTAATATCAGATAAGGAATCACACTGTGTGGTAGATAAAGATTCACCCACTTTTAAAGTTGCTGAGGAGTCACCCATTTGTAATGTTGATGAAGATTAACCCAATGGAGAAACTATATCTTGAAACATGGTTTTAAATATGTCAGCCATACGCAAAATCCTAGACCTTTGTTCATCAGGTACAGAACATGCAACAGATTCTCTTTCAATATTAGCACCGACTTCTGAATCAGAATCACTCTCTTTGCTAGTAAGATCATAGCTCGTGTCACTATAGTCTTCAACCTCTGAAAAAACAAAAACCATTAGCATATTAATACAACTGCATTAGTTTATGAATACGGTCAAAAACATACCATAGGAATAATGAATTATTGGTTCAAAAGAACCATCTTCTTCCCCTAACATTCTCTTTTTATTGATAGAAGGCATTTGTAAAGTTGTTTGCTTGTTACTGTCAGACTTGGAGAAAGCTTGTAAAAGATTAGCAGGTTTAATCTTCAAGCATGTACTTCTGCTTGAAATGTTGTTTGAATTCTGAGCAAAGTTACATTGGTTATCACCTCCTAACAAATACCAAAATAATCAAAATGTAAAACACTTCAGGTAGACAAAATATTTCTCATTGGTTCGTTTGGCTTACCAAACTCTCTGGAAGTTGCACCAAATCTCTTAGAATACTGTAGCAATTTCCCTTTACCTTTATCTGCAGGTTTATACAGAACAAAATATTGCATTACGGTTAACCATCAAATTATAATAAACCCAGGAAAACATATAACGATTGGGGGTGAAGAAATAACACCATAGTTTGGATTTGCAGAACTGAACACATTTGATGGATGAGTAAACTGTTGAGTAGGTTCTCCAGTAGGAGTTGTATTCGAAACATCACTCAAAACTGGTCTCACTGAAGACAAATCCAAATTGGTTCCACGAGACAGTTGAAAATCTACTGGAGTTAGAAATATAGGTTGATAATCTTGTTTTCTTTTTCTTGTATTTTCTTCTTTGTTCTTCATGTTTGATTGTGTTGGAAACTGATACGGGAGAAGTTAGTTTTCTATAGATATCTGAATATCCATCGCTTGTAAAACAATTACTCGATAGGGTTGAATTTAATTAACGTGGCTTATTGATAATTCTGAAAACTGTATTTTTAAAATTAAAATTACTTTTAGGAAAGAATTAGTGTAAATATTGTTACAATCTCCTTACAAAAAACCTTTTTGGTCTGTGTAAATAAGAAATCCTATTTATAATATACATCTTTTCAGAAGTATTCAATTATAATATAATTGAGTTGCAGTGTGAATATATTATTGAGTTTTTTTTATTGAGTTGCAGTGAGAATATATTGAGTTTTTATTATTAGTTTGTTATTAACGTTTAAAGCATAAACGTCAGTTTAGAGTCATAGACAATTCTTAGACCTAGAAAGACAAAAAAGAACGTAGATAAAACTTAGCTGATAATCAAAGCTAAAATAAAACTAAACACTTGCAAAGAACAAACTTCTTGTTTATAGAAAACAGAAAACACAATGGAAACATAAAGCACAATGAAAACACTATGAAAACACAATGTGAACATAATAAACAAAGTACAAATCCACATTTCCTTATATAATAGATACAGATTAGTGTTTATTTCAGTAACATAATTTATGAGACATTTTGATTTAATTTATTTTAGTCTTTGGTTATTTTATTTATTTATTTTAGTATAAGATGTTTTTTTACCAAATAATAAAATGTTTAAATATATAATTTTGGCCTTTAATGAATTAGAAACCATAATTAAAATAGCTGATTACAATGTCAATCATTAATGTATCAATTTGCAAGTTTTTTAATTGATTTCAGCTTTTTATTAATAATTGTTATCTATATTAATTTAACAAAAATAATGTATTATATCACGTATGAACCTCAATTTAGAATTGTGTAAAATTATATAGAACATGAAAGTGGATGTAGTCAGATTTTTAGTGGGCCTATATAGCTAATAAGTTCATACACAAACTTAATTTTATTTTACGTTTTTGAGCCCAATAGTATTCTGTATCTTTTCTTGAGCCCAATAAAATTTTCTATCTTATATTCTTATTTTTGTTTTTGTTCGGACAGAAATGGAGAAGTTAGCTCGAGAGTGTTGCAGATGCTTGTTGGCGATGAAATCTTGAATCGATCCACAATCACAGATAATAAACCGAACTTCATGGGTCTCCTAGTAATCTCTCTTCTCTGTTTTCCAAAAACTTTTATTGGTTTGTTATTAGTCTAACAACATATCGGTTTATCATATACTATATCTGTTCCAGGAAGAAATCTGCCAAAATAAAAATTTGAGGAGTATTTGTCGACAGATCCTTCATGGGTCTCAAAGTAAATATCTCTTCTCTGTTGTTAGATTACTTGAAAAACACAAAAAACTTAAGACCCAAATTAGAATTGTTTAAAAATAAAAACACAGCAAATTAAATTTTAAAATTAGAGATTCTGAAAAATCTCCTTAAAAACAACATTTTTGGTCTGTGTAAATAATAAATCCTATTTATAATATACATCTTTTCAGCAGTATTCAATTATAATATAATTGAGTTGCATTGGGAATATATTATTGAGTTTTTTCTATTGAGTTGCAGTGAGAATATATTGAGTTTTTATTATTAGTTTGTTATTAACATTTAAAGCATAAACGTCAGTTTAGAGTCATACATAATTCTTAGACCTAGGAAGACAAAGAAGGACGTAGATAAAACTTAGTTGATAATCAAAGTTAAAATAAAACTAAACACTTGCAAATAACAAACTTCTTGGAAACAGAAAACAGAAAACACAACGGAAACATAAAGCACAATAAAAACACAATGAGAACACAAAAACAAAGTACAAATCCACACTTCCTTAGCCAGTTTTTTTTTATGCCGACTCCTTCTTGAGACCTTTTTTTTTCACAAACACTTTGGTGGATTGTTTCTTTGATGAAGAAGTGAGTTCAGTTGCATCTTCTGTAATGGCAATTTCTTTGCGTTTTGATGAAGGGGTTGTTACAGAGTCCTCCTTAGCTTCACTTTCAAGAAGTAAAAGTGAACTCTACAAAAGAAACTCAGTTATCATATAGGTAGGGTCATTAAGATAGTGTTGAAAATTTATATATCAAAAAGTAAAAACAAACCTGATCACCACTAAAATTAGTAGTTCCAGATGGAGTACATGATTCTGTGACACCAGCAGTCAATAGCATACTTCGGGTTTTATAAAACGATTTTTCGAGTTTTATAAAATGATTTCTCAAGTTTTATAAAACGACTTCTCGAGTTTTATAAAACGTATTTTTATTTTGCGGAGACTTTTAGCCATTGATTTCGTCGTGACCGATTTTGACACTAACAAATTTTATTAAAAATATTCAGCTCATCATAACGGGAACCAAAATATTTTCAGAACTGATCGTGGCATTAAACTATGCCAGAAGGGTCAAAATTGCATAAATCGACCGAGAAGCTTGAGGTGTCTCAATGCATGAGTTCAGGACGTGGTATCAACCATCTGATAATATATCTGTCTAAAAAAGCACAAGGTGTCGGTGTGCATGGAAGCAGCACATGCAGCTTGACATGCACAAGCAAGAGATGTTGCCGTATCTGCAATCAAAGCATGTTGATCAACATTTGGCGCTGTGGTGTAAAATTGCATGCAACCATGACGTGCATCAGACATGTGTAGGACATGGTGCCACCTTTCATGAAATCCTGATCATGCTGACCGCCATGTGGAGCACAAGGTGCCGCCACGCATGCGACCAGAGTCATGCGAAGCCACTACAAGAAATCGGAGTATTGATAGCAGTAGCGGATAGCGGTTTTTGTCTTTCTGCTATGGTTGACATATCCCTTAGTTTTAGATAGCGTTTGTTAAAATGGAAACGCTATGTTTGGTTGGTCCGATTTTAACTCTGCAAGTGCATTTTATAGATGCAGCAAGCATAGCACTGTCAATTTTGAAACGCTATATATAATTAAAGCGGGAAAATAATTTCATTTTCCCTCCATTTTTTTTTTCAGTTTCCTTCTCCCTTCATCATTTTTAACTCTCCAAAAACTCGATACCCTAAACCCTAAACACAACTTTAAAACTCAAATATTTTTTTATTTTAATATCAAAAATATTTAGTTTAAATTTAAGTTTTAATATTTAAAAAATTTAAATATTAAAATTTAAAATTTAAATATCAAATCTAAACTCCAAACCCTAAACTATAGGCATTTTTCATACCTCAAATTAACATATAACTTAACCCTAAACTAAAACTCTTACAATCTTAATCTTTTTATTATCTAAGTTCAAAACTTAAATTTAACTGGAAAATCTAATTTTAAGTCTTAAATCTAAATCCAAATTATTATACTCCAAAGCCTATAATTATAGATAATTTTTTAAATTTATTTAAATAGATACTTTACATAAATGCATTTTTACAAAACTTCTTATAAAAAGAAATCTAGCTAGTCACATTGTTATTTGTATATCATTAACTTTACAAATATAAATGATAATTTAATTTTTAAACATAACTGTTATAGATATCATTCGTGCTAATTCTCCTCATTGTTTTTCATTTGTCGAAACATTAAACTCTATATCCCTAAAGTACTAACCCTAAAATAATAACAAAAACCTTTACTCTTTAAATATTTACACATAAATGCAGAGAAAAGTTTCTATTGGTTGAAAGTAACACACAAGGATTGCAATCTCTACCCTTAAAAAAAAATTAATCCAAGGGTGGAGATTGTCTCTCTATTTGTCTTCTGAAATACGATAGAAAGAAGAGAGATGAGATATTGTGAGAGGAAGAAGAAGAAACGGCGGCAGGGGTCTGAGTTCGTCACTGTCGTCATCTGTCTCGAACTCGGAGGGAGAAGTGGTACTTAGTAGCAAGGGTAATTTCTTCTGAAACG